AATATATACGCTGGACCACCATTTGGCATATGCTCTGGTAACTAAGGATTTTTTGTGGCTGAAGGTTGAAGGAAGCAACGCATCACAACTAGAAGAATAATGAACGGATGAGTTCCAATGCTTTAAAAATTCCTCTAAGGTGCAAGTACGAAAGTCATTTTTTAATTTTCCAGGAATATCTTGATGGTACCCAAATTGTCGGCTAAATCTGTGTGGACTATACGGCTCAATGATAAGATGGTCATTTTGGCGCAATGTCAAATAACATGATCGAAGATTGATTAGGGTGTCAAAGTCAGCTTTTATCATCTCGCCATTATCTATAATAAGTCGCTCTTTTGAAGATCTTTTAGCCATTCGAGTTAAGTTTATTCCTTTACATGATCTGAATAAATTTTTGGCTTCAAAATGGTCAAAGTATCTTGCTCCTCCTTCGCCTGCATATAATGTCATTCTAGGCCAATAGTTGGTATTAGGAATGGTGAAATTAGTTCTGAAATATTCACTCAACCATTCGAATACATAGTGAATAGGAAATATCGCAGAGCAGCTTCCAGGATCTGGTGAGGAAACAATCTCGTTCAAGCCTCTGTAAATACTGGCCAGAACTGGGATGGAAAGACAAATGTTGTAGCCATCTGCTAACATGCTTGCGACCTTGAAAGTCCCAGGACGAATTATGTTGCCAGGGTGTGCAGGTAAGGCAAATTTGCAGAGCCAACATGCTAAAAAAACAGCTAGATAAGTGGTGTCTCTCGATGTTTCATCTACACCAAGGTTGATAAATACTTCTTTCTCTTTGGTGGACATCGACCGGACAGGAGAGATCACACCAGACGGATTTTGAGTCCTCATAGGGCGGTGAACTTTATTTTTTGTTGATTTCTTTGAAGGTTTGGCATGTCTTGATGCACCTTTAAACCAGAAATTAATCCAGTCAGATATCTTCACATTCTGATCTCCTTTATACTTCTTGGAAAGTCTGTGGAAGGCCAAAAATAGGTGTTGACAACTCAAAGGGATAGAATTTTTATTGTTGCCAGCTCTTGATAGTTCATCTGCACAAGGAATAACTTCATCATAAATTGTTCCTTGGTGAGGGAGAGCACCTAGCATATATAAATCTCGAAGAGAAATTGATAGCTCGCCAATAGAACAATGAAGTGTATTAGTGGCTGGGCACTAACATTCAAGGAATGCTTTGAATACATCTTCATGACGATCATAGGAAAATAGGGAGGCGAATAAAGCACCATATAGTTGTTGTTTTGATAGAAAGTCGTGGAAACGTGCCAAGACATCTTCTAACCACTCCCAATATAGTTCGGTGTATAGCAATTCAGCAGGAAGTTTATAAGGAATACTCCATGATATTTCCTTCGCCTGAACATTAAGACCCAATAGTGAAAACTGGTTTTCTTCAACAACTCTCTCATGAAGTGAAGAATTTAGTATCAAGGCTTTAGAGACAATAGATTCTTCATTAATCTAATCACGACCAAAGTCGGTGAGTTCGCATGTGGCCGTGCATGTCCAATGAGATGAACAATGTTTATTGTTAGAATCAGGCACTTGAATAGCATTGCGACCAAAAAGTGAGTCATATACACTTAATGTCGTTCCTTGGACTCGTTGACTATTTTTGCTCTCTAAGATAGTCAGCTTTTGCTTTGCGAAACACTTGAACACCACCATGATGGATAACAAAGCTCAAATCGGTGTTGTCTAGAAGGAGGATTCAATTTCTACTACGGTTGACACAAATCAAGTTGTTATACCTAATCCAGCCCTGCAAAGAAAAAAAAAAAAAAAAAAAAAAAAATTTGCTCCAGTATGCGTGAAAAAAAAAAAAAAAAAAAGTTCTCCAGCGTGCGTGGAGAGAGAAAAAAAAAAAATGTTCTCCTGCATGCGTGGAGAGAGAAAAAAAAAAAAAAAAAAAAAAAAAGAAGCTCCAGCCAGCGTGGAGAAGAGAAGAGAGCGAAGAAAAAAAAAAGAAAAAAAAAAAGAAGAAGAAACACACGTACCAATTATTTGTGATCTAACAAGTCTTCAGAGATTTTTGAAATTGATATCAAACCCTATAATATTGAGGGTATATATAAGTAACAAGATACCTCCAAGTTGTATTGGGATTTGGACAATTCAATTTAAATAGGAAAGTACAATTAAGATGAAAAAAAAAGAAGAAACTTCAAGTCCCACTTGGAAAAAGAGACAAGTCTTGTCAAAATTGGGACTTGAAGTGGGGGCAATTTGTAGATACTAAAATTTAGTGGGCTTTGGTTTTAACGAATGGACCCATTAAATATAGGCCTAATGTTTAAATAAATTATTTAATTTACCAGGCTTGGTCCACTTAAATTATTTAATTAGCCCAGCCTAGATAATTAAATAAAACGATAATTATTCCTAATAAAATATATTTTGAATAATTATCTTTAAGGATAATTATCACAATACAACCGGCCCGGCCCAGTTATAGTTTTATCCTTATCAGGAGATAACACGTGTCATCATCCTATTAATCCAAGAAGCCTATAAATAGAGGCTTGGAGGAAGAAAAAAAGGGGAGGATTCAGAATTCAGAAGTCTACAAATTCAGACACAAATTCAGAAGTTCAGAGACTCAGAAATCCAAAAACTCAGAATTCAGACACAAATTCAGAATCGAAACCCAAAAGCGAAAAACATCAAGCACATCCAACAACGTGCCGTCCTTCATCAAATTCCACAGTGATTCAAGAATAAGCTCGTGCAGCCCTTGGATCCAACCAACCAAAAACAAGGAGATCGAATCAGATGACCATTCTTTTTTTGTAAAAGATATTACAAAGGACTGTACCTCATCTTTATTTATTAATAAAATTCTATTTTGCTCCATATTTTGTTTCTATTGCAGACTTACAAAATTTGTGTGTACACATGGTCTCTTGAAGATATTAACAATGAGCATCTGTACAAAAACCAGGTCTACTTTCTCTTTCATGCTTCATCACTCTTAATTTTTTCTGAATCCTTAGAATTTTTGTGACATTTTTTTTTTTGGTAGCTTTTAGATTAAATTATTGATATATCTGGAATATAATATACAGTTGATTGTTGCTTACCGATGGTATTAAAGGACTTTAATCATGATTTTATACATAAATGGGCTGGGCTTTGTTCGGGCCCAATCCTATCAAAAATCTCATGCCTCAACATCAGAATACACGTGGAGAGGTTACTGGTTAGCAATATGCTTTTCATTATTCATGTTCTGTGCTATTGCTCTGTTGGTGTATCCAAATTTATGATGCTCACTTGTTGCTCATGCATTGCTATTATTATAATTGCTCTTGATTAATATACTTTAATTTATGTTGTTTAAGCTGGCTGCTTGAGTTATTTATTTATTTTTCTTCCTGGAAGTTAATTTATGTTGTGATTTCAAATTTCACAGTATGTTCATTTGTTAGTATGGGAAATGTTGTACTAATTCTTCTGGCTAATGTCTGGATTTCAATTGAAGATGGTAAACAAGCATGTGACGATCATTTGATTAGTGATTTTCATGAAACCTTTTCCAATTAACTTAGTGAAAATTTATTTCATATTTTAATGCTCATTTAGACTTAGCAAGCTAATTCCCATGTTTTGTTTCCTGAAAGAGAACTACTTTGATTCTAGTAATTTATTTGAACCCTTTATTATATGGACTCTCCTATATCACTTGTGTACCAGTGTCGAAAAGACTTAGGTATGGTTAGAGGATATGTGTCCGACACATGAACCCAGATTGGACACCCTTATCCTTCACATGGATTGATGAAAGGAGGAAAAAAAAACTCAAATTTAATGGCAGAAATGAGTGTTCAATCTACGAGAGAGATGGAAATCGTTTTCCTTAGCCACATCCCATTTAATTTTAATTTGAGTAATAATTGAGTATATTCTTGTAATAAAAACAACATTAAACTTTACTATAATATCACATATAATAAAATTATAACTGTTGAAAATGATTATCTTCACTAATATTTTTATCTTGAATTTTTATCACAATGTTATTATTTTTCATATCATTCATAATTTTATATTCCATATATTCTGATTTAGTTCCACTAATTTTTAAAACCTTTGACTCTAATGCATTTCTCCAAGCTTGTAACTTCATTGCTAAGTATTCTTTTGAATTATCAATAGCATTATGTCATCAGCAAATACCATGCACAAGGGAATGTCTCCTTGTAAGTCTCGATATTTCATCCAAGATTATCGTGAACAAATATGGATCTAGCGCTAAGCCTTGGTGTAATCCTGCTCTTAAAGTACGAACTTTAGTTTTTGTATCTTTGTATATATCCTGAACAAGTCTTATAAATTTTGTACTATGTTTTCTTCATAGTGCCAACCAAATTATATCTCTTGCTACTCTATCATGTTTTTTCTAACCCTATGAAAATCACTTGCACATCTTCTTGTTTGCTTTTGCAATCTTCCACTAACTGCCTCAATAAGTAAAAGGCCTCTATAGTAGACCTTCCCCAGAATATGCCCAAATTAGTTATCGGACACTGTATCTTTTTTCTTTAATGTTTATCATAGTCGTGCCATGTCCATGCCCGTATCCATGTGCATTCTTCATAAACTTTCATCTCTCCAATTATTTTTTTAGTACTCTACTGCTGCTCCAACAGTCGTTGTCATGCTAAAATGGAACGTTAGAGCTAGGTCATCCATCTTAAAGTATTACTCCGATATTATTGCAATCCTCGCCATTTATTGTACTGAATGAGTTTTCAATGGCTCTATTTTCTTCTTTTTTTCTCTCTCTTTTGCAGTTAAGCTGAGGTTTTAATAGTTGATGCAGTATAGGCCCACACATTACGCCAATCCCTTAATAAATTATTTTGGCAACAACCTAGAATAGAAAATAGAACTCTTAATAGCTGAGCAAGTACAGTATGTACTTGTCATAATAATCTGCAACTGTTATTGCTTGAATGACAACTTTTAAAACTATGATAACAAAGTTTCATACTGTTGCTTTGTTTGATGAGAGAGATAGCGACTCATGGAAGGATGCTTATTTTGTCCTAGTCACCTTGAAATGGCTATTGGCTGTATGGTTTAGAGCAAATGAATACAGATAATTTTTGGAAACTAAAAATATAAAATTACAAGAATAGTCTATATTTACTTGAATAGGTAGAATAGTCTATAATTTTAGGAAGCTTATAGAAGTTGGATCTAGTTTGTAATTTTTAATTCCTTATCTTTTCTAATAAACTCTTTTCTGAAGTGCCTTGTGGTTGTTGGAATTTCCATGAATCCGTTAGAGTTTCCATCTTTGCTCAGCAGTTGCCTTTTAGGTAGAAAAAAGGGCTAGCCCAAGGCACGAGGCTCCCACCATTGCAAGGTCCGGGGAGTATTAGATGTATTGCCCTTACCCCTCCACATGGAGAGGCTGTTTTCTGATTCGAACCCTTGACCTCTAGGTCACAATGGAGCAATCTTACCATTGTGCCAAGGCCCACCCTCTTGCAGGAAAGGAAAAAGAAAGTTTCCATGTTTTTTATTCTTGTAGTAAGAGAAGAAAAAAAAAAAAAAAGTCTAGATTTTTTCCATCTTGGCTGGACTGATTCACCTTCAAGTTACCACTTGACTTTGCGCCAAGGCCCACCCTCTTGTAAGAAAGGGAAAAGAAAATTTCCATTTTTTTTTTTATTCTTGTAGGAAGAGAGAGAGACAGAACAAAAAAAGAGTCAAGATTTTTTCCATCTTGGCTGCACTGATTCACCTTCAAGTTACCACTTGACTTTGTTATGGGCTTAAAGCCATTTGATATAAAAAAATTACCTTATCTTTCTTACTGCAAATACTGGAAGAACCGATGATTTTGCAGCTGTGGCTTGTGCTTACTTAAAGTACTATGAGGGAGCTTGCTTGTACTTATTGATTCTTAACTCATAGCACTTACTTCATTGGTTAGGATGCCAGTGACAGACTTCCATATGCATTATGTATCTGTGATTCTTTATCCTTTTGGCTGGATTATCTTTCCTTTATTGAGTCTTCTCATAATAATATGGTATAATTGAATTCTTCTAACTGCTGAGAACTATGTTTGACACTACCACTGGAATTTATTTGCATCTGTCTAGGTGGAGAAGATTCCTGTATCATTTCTATCTGAGGAGAATTATCTTGGTTCATATGTTTTTCCTTTGCTGGAAGAAACACGAGCAGAACTGGCTTCCAGTATGGAAATTCTAGACACAGCACCTTTTGCTGTTTTTAAAGAGTGTAAGATCTATGGAGAATTACTATACGATGTCAAGGTTGATTACTGGAGAAACACATTTAATGATCGTGCTAAAGAGCCTTACAGAACGTTGCCTGGAGATATTTTTGTCATCTCAGATGTGAAACCTGAGACTATTTCTGATTTACAACGTTCGGGAAGGACCTGGACTTTTGCGTCAGTCACATATATCACGGAGAATGAGAATGAAGATGATAGCACAATTACTCAATTTAGAATCAAAGCATCAAAAGACATTGAAGTCAAAGATGGGATGCAGAAGTCCATGTTCGTGGTTTTCTTGAGAAATATAACAAGAAGCAAAAGAATATGGAATATGTTGCACAAGTTGACAAATATGAAGATTATCAAGAAAATCCTGTGCACTGATTCCATGGTAAGAAATATGACTAGATTGGATTGCATGACATTAATGTTGCATAAACACTGGAATATTCAATTAAATACATGGTGGAAGTGAATAATTAAAAGTAAATATGGATTATGGGATACTTAATGCATGAACATGAGGATGGTAATATCATTTTTGTAACAATATAGCTTCTTCTAAAGAGTTGGAAGAAGGAAGTAGAAAGTAAATAAAATCTTAAGGGAAAAACTTACTGGTGACTACTTGGGACACATGTTTGATGCGATGTATTGGTAATGTACTATGGCAAGAATGTGTTTTCTTTTCATATAAATATACTTTGAGAATCATTGTAACTTCATTTCCTTATGTGTCCTTTTCTATGCACACTTAAATCTTCCTTTTATATAAATGTATATTTAAGTTTCATATTCTCTTTTTGTCTTTTAGTTCTCATATGTTCTATCTCGTGTATCTAAATTTTGTTAAACATCATGCACCATATATTTCACTCTTTTCCATTAACTGAGAGCATAGTGGAATTAATGTCATTTGATATGTACTTAACATTATGGGTTTCTTGGTTGATATTTTGATTTTGGCAAACAGGTTGAGGAAACTTGTGATCGTTGTTCTGGACATAATAATAGCCAATTAGCTGAAAGATTCAGTATGAGACTTTTGTCCAAGCTGAATGAACCCCATACCGAGGCAATCTTGGCTTCTCTCCATAAAATGGAATGTAACCACAAGACTTATGTGAAACTTATATGGGGCCCACCTGGAACAGGGAAAACTATGACTGTCAGTGTGATGCTGTTTAGCCTCTTAAGTCTGAACTGCCACAGGATCCTTACTTGTGCCCCAACAAGTGTAGCAATAAAGGAAGTAGCCTCTCGGGTGCTAAAGATGGTTAAAGAATCATTTGAAGCTGAATCTAGAGGGGATTATTTGTTTTGTCCATTGGGGGATATTTTATTACTTGGGAATGAGGACCGGCTGAAAATTGGGGGATCAGACATTAAGGATATCTATCTGGATTATCGTGTTAAAAGGCTTGAAGAGTGCTTAGGAATCTGCGAAGAAGGTTGGAAGCACTGTTTAGATTCCATGATAGATTTTCTTGAAAACTGTGTTTCTCAATACCATATTTTTGTGGAAAATGAATTGATCAAGGCAAAAGAACTCTGCAAAGAAGGTGAACCTACAGAGGTGGAATTAAAATCATTTCTTGAGTTTGCAAGAGACCGATTCAAATCTACTGCATCACCACTCAGGAGTTGTTTATTTATAATCTGTACCCATTTACCAAAGCATTACATTCCAGAACATAATTTTCAAAACATTGTATCTGTTTTTAATTTACTTGATTCGTTGGAAAAGTTGTTTCAAGAAAATGTGGATTCTGAAGAATTGGAGGAGATTCTTTCACGTCAGGAAACTGTTGAAGACACTTCTGAGTCTCTTGTGGATCCATCATTACTGCTGCTGAGCAGGAAACAAAGCAAGTGTCTTTCTGTTTTGAGAACTCTTCAGCTTTCTCTTGAGGAACTTAATCTTCCAAGTGTTACGATCAGAGATTCAATAATGGAATTTTGTTTTCAAAGAGCTTCCTTAATTTTCTGCACTACTTCCAGTTCATATAAGCTTCATTGGGTGAAAATGGAACCACTGACCTTGCTTGTTATTGATGAAGCTGCCCAGTTGAAGGAGTGTGAATCAACCATACCCCTTCAACTTCCGGGTATGAGGCATGCTATTCTCATTGGTGATGAGCGCCAATTACCAGCAATGGTCATGAGTGAAGTAAGTCAATTCTAACACTGTTGAATTATAAATTCGAGAGGTAACTAGATTTTTTGCATGGTTCTCTCACAAAGTTTTACCTTTTTTACTATATTGAATTTATAATGCCATCTTTGACACATTGAATATATGTATGAACAGGTTTCTGGTCATGCTGGTTTTGGAAGAAGCTTATTCGAAAGATTGAGTTCATCCAGACATTCTAAGCATCTGCTTAATATACAATATAGAATGCATCCGAAAATTAGTTTCTTCCCTAATTTAAAATTTTATCACAAATCGATCTTGGATGCACCAAATGTTAGCAGTAAAAGTTATGAGAGACACTATCTTCCAGGGCCAATGTTTGGTCCTTACTCTTTCATAAATGTTATTGGCGGAAAAGAAGAACTGGATGATGTTGGACATAGCCGGAGAAATATGGTTGAGGTAGCTATTATTTTGAAGATAGTGCAGAATCTGTACAAAGGTATATCAAGTGTGAACTAAAAATGTCTGTAGTACAATACCAACCTTGTTACTTGGCATACTATGTGTTTTACGAAATGGTTTCATGTTTCTATCTCACTTTTACATCATCATCCGCAGAAAACTATTTTTTCATTTTAATTATTATTTTTATAGTAAATCAATTTTTTGAGGTTGCAGCAATTTGATTGCATTGCATAGTAAAAGTCTAAGTTGATCTCTTTAAATATGTTTGGACGATATGGGCACTGAGGGACAAGTTAACGAGATTTTTCAAGAATAATATTATATTTTATAATAAAGGAGGCTGATTAAGGCTCCATTAAGTTATTAACCATTGGAGAGAGATACAGAGAGTCCTTGATATGACCAACCTTTTTTATGAATGTTCTTCTCCACCTTCTTTCTGATAACGCGATAGTGTCAAAGAAGAAAATAAAATTGTAAGCAGGATTAGATAGAATTAAAATACAAAAAATAATGACATATGGTTACTTTATAGAGAAAGTTATCACACTATTTGCTCAACAAATTTGATGGAAAACTTCCTCAGTCATCATCTCCTTTCGTATCTCTGCTAGGTTTAAGTTATTCAGGTAAGTAAGCACTACAAAGAATATTATTGGGGCTGTGTTAAACTTTTAGTTGTTAACGTATGCCATTAGTTTGGTTTTTCCTTTTGATTCACATATTATATTCATATACAGCTTGGAATGGCTCTGAAAAGAAGCTTAGCATTGGTGTGGTGTCTCCCTACGCTGCTCAAGTTGTGGCCATTCAAGAAAAACTTGGACGGAAGTATGAGAACCTTGATGGTTTCATGGTGACGGTGAAGTCTATTGATGGGTTTCAGGGTGGAGAGGACGATATTGTAATAATGTCTACTGTAAGAACTAATAAAGAAGGATCCATCGGGTTCTTAGCCAGCCGTCAAAGAACTAACGTTGCTTTGACAAGAGCTCGGTACAAAGTCAAACAAATTTCTACTGTGATTTCCTTCTAATCTTCATAATTAGACATGACCTTTCCACATCTTTCCAGGCACTGTCTTTGGGTTCTTGGAAATGAGAAAACCCTATCCAAAAGTCGATCAGTTTGGACAGAATTAGTCCAAGATGCTAAGTATCGTCAATGTTTCTTCAATGCCGATGAAGACAGGGATATGGCCAAAACCATATTAAATGTGAAGAAAGAACTTGATCAACTTGATGATTTGCTTAATGAGGACAGTGTACTTTTCAAAAGTGCAAGGTGGCAGGTATATATCTTCTGGTTGCCAAATATTTATTGTCATTCAGTTTTTTCAAATTTCTAAAATAATTCTATGTTTATCTGTCTTTTGGATTATTGGTCTTTGGCTTTATTCTTATAGTTTCTTGCCCACTTGATCTTGCAGGTTCTTTTCAGTGATCAATTTAGAAAGTCATTTGGAAAATTGACGTCTGACCGTACAAAGAAGTCTGTGTTGAACCTTTTACTTAAGCTATCTAGTGGTTGGCGACCTAAGAAAAGGAATGTGGACTCTGTTTGTGAAAGCTCTTCACAGATCGTTAAACAATTCAAGGTTGAAGGGCTCTATGCTGTATGCACGATTGACATAGTGAAGAAATCTAGGTACATCCAAGTTTTGAAGGTTTGGGACATATTGCCTTTAGAGGGGATCTCGCAATTGGTGAAACGTCTTGATAGCATTTTTGCAATGTACACAGATGATTTTATCAATTGCTGCAAGGAGAAAAGTCTTGAGGGGTATGTCTGTTCTTTCGCATGCTATTGGATATGACCTCTTGTTGCTAAACGCTAAGGTTCTATTTGGTTCATGAATTTGGTGATGGAAAACGGAAGTTTTTGCAGAACAGATCAATTCTTTTCATGTTCATTCACCAAAACGAATAGATTCAAAATGAAATCTGAGGAAAATATTGTAATTCTATGATTAATTTCCCTGTCCCTTCACTCAATTCTTGATCAAATTAATGAATTTTAAATTTCAATCTCATCTAATCATTAGAAAAAGAAAAAAAAAAAATTGAGAAAATTTGTTTACTTTTTTCTTTTTCCTATTGTTTTCCTTTCCTTAGCTAAATCTTTGAACAAAACAGAGCTTAAAAATTGCTGCCTTATTTTGATTGTTGAAAATATAAAAATTCTTTATTATATATTTGAATTTGAAAGAGTTTTTCACTTTATTTTAAATTTCATTTTCTTCATGTTAGGGACTTGGAAATTCCAAAGAGTTGGGGTACCTCTTATGATGTTGTCCAGTTTAAGAATATTTGCAACAATGAATTTGGGAGTGAATTAAGTGTTGCAGCAGTTGATGGTAGAAGTTATGTTGAGAAGTCAAAGGTTAGTGAAAGCTTGTTGCTGATGAAATTCTACTCATTATCATCTGGAGTTGTGAGACACCTGCTTTCTGGCTTCGATGGTGGGGAACTGGATCTCCCCTTTGAAGTAACAGATCAGGAGATGGAAATTATTCTCTTTAGTAAAAGCATCTTTATAGTTGGACGGTCGGGCACCGGAAAAACTACTGTTTTGACCATGAAATTATTTCGAAAGGAGCAACAACACCGTATGGCTACAGATGGATTTTATGTAGGTGAGAGCAGTACCACTAAGGGTTCGCGCCATATAAACGAGTTTAATGAGTGCATTGGAGAGACTAAGGGAACTGTCCTGCGGCAGCTATTTGTTACAGTTAGTCCAAAATTGTGTTATGCTGTCAAACAACATGTTTCACGGCTGAAAAGGTGCGTAAAATTGTCAAGTTTGGAGTTGTTTGAATGTATTCTATTTTGTTAGATCATCATCATCTTTGCTTTTATCCCATTTAAGTAGTGTCAGGCCACATGAATTCACTTTTTTTTTTTTTTTTCGTATGTTCTATTCTGCTAAATGGTGGTCCATTTATTTTGTTAACTAATGATTAGTCAATTAAAGTGGCCGTTCCAACATATTTGGTTTTGTTAAGTTTCAATGATAAGATGTTATATGCTTGTCTGGACATATACACAATAAATCATATCTGTTAGATGGACGAAACAATAGATTGTGTTAGAGTTTGGGCTTTATTGTAATATCATTTTGTGGTTAAGGGTATTTCTGTAATATTGCTTTCTCATTATATAAAGAAAAAGTGGTGTAGAATGAGGATGGAGCTTAGATTATATTATATTTCTGTAATCTTGCTATCTCAACTGATTGCATTTAGTGGGATTGTGGGGATTTTTCGGACCTTGTCCACCCACTATTGCCTTTACCCAAGGCAACCTGTTGAACCCCTGTCCGTCTGACATCGCCCTAATGGGGGCACCTTTAGACTCTTTTCATTTATCATTGCCTTCACCCTAGGACAGCCAATCGAACCCCTGACATCCCAAAATGGAAATGGTGGTGGCAACATTGTAGGATTTGGTGCTGAACAGGTCATATTAGTACGGTCAAGATGGAAGAGCTGTTCAAGATGATGGAACATGTTTATTAAGATGGAAGTGTTGGTCAAAATTTTTCTACGCTGGTGTGTAACCGAAAACCTTAATTAACCAGCTCAGCATTATCCACTAACCAATGTGACATCAAATGGTCACAAGAAAGTAAATATTGTAGTTGGCTTAGTGGATAAAATTGTATTCCCTAAAGTTTCATAAAGATACCTGTAAATAGAATAGGGAACTATACCCTACACAGAAACAGAGAAGACTGGACAGAGTGTAATGTAGGAAAATTCACACTGTTGGTAATTATTCAAAGCGAAATTCTCCAGCTTCAATACCGAAGTTTTGAATAGATCTTTGAGATTTATCTTATACTGAGTACAGTTTGTGTTTCAGTTTTGGGCCCACACAAAACTCAATCATTGGGTTGTTGGGTTGCACAGACTTGTAGAGAATTGTTTTGTAAAATTTGAATATACTTTTATATGCAAATATAAATAAATGTTAGTGGCAGGATTTTTTTACTGACTATTATCCTTGTTATATGTACAGCTTCACCCATGGTAGGAATTTTCCAGCAGAAACCAGTTCAATTGATATGGATGATATGGAAGAATTTAAAGATATCCCAGATTCTTTTGTTGAAATTCCTCCTAACAAATATCCTCTTGTCATAACGTTTCATAAGTTCTTAATGATGCTTGATGGAACATTGGGTAATTCTTACTTTGAAAGATTCAGTGATGTAAGGGACTTTTCTCATCACAAAACTGGAGCTTCAAGATCAGTTGCATTGCAAACTTTTACAAGGGTGAAGGAAGTTAACTATGACAGGTTCTGTTCAGTTTACTGGCCCCATTTCAATACCAAGCTAATAAAGAATCTTGATCCTGCTGTAGTGTTTACTGAAATAATTTCCAATATAAAAGGTGGCCTGCAAGCAGGGGGAACCCTTGATGGTAAACTTGAAGACATTTTCAATGAGGATCTGTACAAAAATCAGGTCTACTTTCTCTTCATGTTTTATCACTCTTAATTTTTTCTGATTCCTTAGAATCTTTGTGACATTTTTTTGCAGCTTTTAGATTAAATTGTTGATATATGTGCAATTTAATATATTGTTGATTGATGCTTACCAATGGTATTAAAGGACTTTAATCATAATTTTATACCAAATATTTATGATGCTCACTTGTTGTTCATGAATTGATGCGATTAATAAAAACTTGTTCATGGGATTTAGGTGTTGTCTTAAATCAATTCATCGAACCATATGTATCATTTTTATACTGACAAATCATAGTGAAAATGTATGTTTTCGCTATGCAAAAATTAATAGTGACTATTTAATATTTTTTTTTTATTAAATAGTGACTATGTTGTGGTTTCAAATTTTCAGATGATGTTCAGTTGTTAGTATGGGAAATGTTTTCTTTTCAAATGTCTGATTTCAATTGAAGATGGCAAACTCGCATGTGATGATCATTTGATTAGTGATTTTCATGATACTTTTTGCTATCAACTTAGTGAAAATTATTTCATATTTTAATGCTCATTTAGACTTAGCAAACTAAAATCCCATGATTTGTTTCCTGAAATGTAGGACTCATATTGTTCCCCTTTTTTCCAACATGAAAGAGAACTACTTTGACTCTATTAATTTATCTGTACCCTTTGTTATATGGACTCTCCTGTATCACTTGTATACCCGTGTTGACACAACATGGGTATGGTTAGAGGATATGTTTCCATCACATGAATCGAGATTACACACCCTGATCCTTCACATGGGTTGATGAAAGAAGGGCAAAAAAGAAAAAAACTCGAATTTTAATAGCAGAGATGAGTTCTCTATCTACGAGATAGATGGAAATCGTTTTCCTTAGCCACATCCCATTTAATTTGAGTAATAATTAAGTATATTCTTATAAAAAAACAGCATTAAACATTACTATAATGAAATTATAATTGTTGAAAATCATTATCTTCGGTAATGTTTTGGTCTTGAATTTTGATCACAAATTTATTCATTTTCCATACCATTACTAAAATTATATTCTGATTTAGTTCCACTAATTTTTAAAACCTTTTGACTCCACTGCATTTCTCCAGGCTTCTAACTTCATTTGGAACATTAGGTAGATTGAGAACATTCGGAAGCTTATACATATGTAGACTACTTTATAAGAGTTTACTATAGATTATTAAAACCTTATAGAAGTTGGATCTAGTTTGTAATTTTTTCTTCTTTTCTTTTCTAATAAACTCTTTTCTGAAATGCCTTGTGGTTGTTGAAATTTCCACGAGTCCGTAAAAGTTTCCATCTTGCCCAACAGTTGGCTTTTAGGCAGAAAAAAGGGCTAGCCCAGTGCACGAGGCTCCCGCCATTGCGGGGTTTGGGGAGTGTCAGATGTACACAGCTTTACCCCTCCACATGGAGAGGCTGTTTCTTTACTTGAACCCATGCTCTCCACGTCACAATGGAGCAACCTTACCATTGCGCCAAGGCCCACCCTATATTAGAGGGGGAAAAAAAATTGTTTCCATTTTTTTTTAATTCTTTTAGGAAGGTAAAAAAAAATTCAAGAATGTTTTCCATCTTTGCTGCACTGATTCACCTTCAAGTTACTACTTGACAATGTTATAAGCTTAGAGCCATTTGTTTGATATCAAGATCTACCTTATCTTTCTTACCGCAAATACTGGAAGAACTGATGATTTTGCTGCTGTGGCTTGTGCTTCCTTGAAGTACTATGAGGGAGCTTGCTTGTACTTATTGATTACATATCTTGCTCCTCGATTATTTCAGAAGTATATCGTTAACTCAAAGCACCTACTTTATTGGTTAGGATGCCATTTGAAAGACTTCCATATGCATTATGTATCTTTCCTTTTGGTTGGATTATCTTTCCTTATTGAGTTTTCTAATAATAATGTGGTACAATTGAATTCTTCATACTGCTGAGAACTATTTTTGACACTACCACTGGAATTTAAATTTCTTTGCATCTGTCTAGGTGAAGGAGATTCCTGTATCATTTCAGTCTGTGGAGCATTATCTTGGTTCATATGTTTTTCCTTTACTGGAAGAAACACGAGCAGAACTGGCTTCCAGTATGGAAATTCTAGACACAGCACCTTTTGCTGTTTTTAAAGAGTGTAAGATCTATGGAGAATTACTATACGATGTCAAGGTTGATTACTGGAGAAACACATTTAATGATCGTGCTAAAGAGCCTTACAGAACGTTGCCTGGAGATATTTTTGTCATCTCAGATGTGAAACCTGAGACTATTTCTGATTTACAACGGGCGGGAAGGACCTGGACTTTTGCATCAGTCACTAATATCACGGAGGATGAGAATGAAGATGATAGCACAACTACTCATTTTAGAATCAAAGCATCAAAAGACATTGAAGTTGGGATGTGGAAGTCCATGTTTGTGGTTTTCTTGATGAATATAACAACAAGCAAAAGAATATGGAATACGTTGCACATGTTTACAAATATGAAGATTATCAAGAAAATCCTGTGCTCTGATTCTGTGGTAAGAAATACAATGGCATTATTGTTCCATAAACACTGGAATATTCAGTTAAATACATGGTGGAAGTGAATAATTAAAAGTCAATATGGATTATAGGATACCTAATGCATTAACAGAGTGATGACAATATCATTTTTGTAATGATTCAAAACAATATAGCTTCTTTTGAAGGGTTGGAAGAAGGAAGTAGAAAGTTAATGAAGTCTTAAGGGAAAGTCTTACTGGTGACTACTTAAGACACATGTTTGATGCAATGATTAGTAACTTTTCATATAAATATAGTTTGAGAATCATTGTAACTTAATTTCCTTAAGTGTCCTTGACTATGCACACTTAAATCTTCCTTTTAAATAAATATGTTTTTGACTTTCATATTCTCTTTTTGGTCTTTTAGTTCTCATATGTTCTATCTCATGTCCCTAAATTTTATTAAACATCATGCGCATATTTCACTCTTTTGCATTGAGCGAGAGCATAGTGGAAATTGATTTCATGGGATTTCTACTTAACATTATGGGATCTTGGTTGATATTTTGATTGGGGCCCACCTGGAACAGGGAAAACTATGACTGTCAGTGTGATGCTGTTTAGCCTCTTAAGACTGAACCACAGGATCCTTACTCGTGCCCCAACAAATGTAGCAACAAAGGAAGTAGCCTCTCGGGTGCTAAAGATGGTTAAAGAATCATTTGAAGCTGAATCTGAAAGGGATTCTTTGTTTTGTTCATTGGGGGATATTTTATTATTTGGGAATGACGACCGGCTGAAAATCAGATCAGACATTGGGGAGATCTATCTGGAATATCGTGTTAAAAGGCTTGTAGAGTGCTTAGGACCATTAACCGGTTGGAAGCATTGTTTAAATTCCATGATAGATTTTCTTGAAGATTGTGTTTCTCACTACCATATTTTTATGGAAAATGAATTGATCAAGGCCAAAGAACTCTGCGAAGAAGGTGGACCTACGGAGGTGGAATTCAAATCATTTCTTGAGTTTGCAAGAGACCGATTCAAATCTACTGCATCACCACTCAGGAGATGTTTATTTATTTTCTGTACCCATTTACCAAAGCGTTACATTCTGGGACGTAATTTTCAAAACATGGTATCTCTTATTAATATACTTGATTCGTTGGAAATGTTGTTGTTTCAAGAAAATGTGGTTTCTGAAGAATTGGAGGAGCTTCTTTCACGTCAGGAAACAGTTGAAGACACTTCTGAGTCTTTTGTGGATACGTCATTACTGCTATGCATAAGACGAAGCAAGTGTCTTTCTGTTTTGAGAACTCTTCGGCATTCTCTCGAGGAACTCAACCTTCCAAGTGTTATGAATAGAGATTCAGTAATGGAATTTTGTTTTCGAACAGCTTCCTTAATTTTCTGCACTGCTTCCAGTTCATATAAGCTTCATCGGGTGGAAATGGAACCACTGAACTTGCTGGTTATTGACGAAGCTGCCCAGCTGAAGGAGTGTGAATCAACCATACCCCTTCAACTTCCGGGTATGAGGCACGCTATTCTCATTGGTGATGAGCGCCAATTACCAGCAATGGTCAAGAGTGAAGTAAGTCAATTCTAGTACCGATGAATTATAAATTCTAGAGAGAACTAGATTTTTTTGCATGGTTTTCTCACAGAAGTTTTACCTTTTTTTCTGTATTGAATTTATTATGCCATCTTTGACGCATTGAGTATATGTATCAATAGGTTTCTGGTGATGCTGGATTTGGAAGAAGCTTATTCGAAAGATTGAGTTCATCCAGTCATCCTAAGCATCTGCTTAAAATACAGTATAGAATGCATCCGAAAATTAGTTTCTTCCCTAATTTAATTTTTTATCACAAATGGATCTTGGATGCACCAAATGTTAATAGTAAAAGTTACGAGAGACACTATCTTCCAGGGCCAATGTTTGGTCCTTACTCTTTCATAAATGTTATTGGTGGAAAAGAAGAACTGGACGATGATGGACATAGCCGAAGAAATATGGTTGAGGTTGCTATTATTTTGAAGATAGTGCAGCATCTGTACAAAGGTATATCAAGTGCGAACACAAATTGTCTGTAGTACAATATTGACTTTGTTACTTGACATACTATGTGTTTTACAAAATGGTTTCATGTTCCCATCACACTCTTACATCATCATCTACAGAAAACTATTTCTTCATTTTTATTTTTATTATTATTTTTATTCTATATCATTTTTTGAGTTCACAGCAACATGATTGCATTGCACAGTTAGAGTGATCTCTTTAATTTGGACAATACAGGCACTTAGGAACAAGTTAACGAGTTTTGCAAGAATAATATTATCTTTTATAAGAAAGGAGGCTGATAAAGGCTCTATTTACCATTGAAGAGAGAGAGAGAGAGAGAGAGAGAGTATATGATATGACAAACCTATTTTATGAATGTTCTTCTCCCCCTTCTTTCTGATAACCCAATAGAGTGTCAAAGAAGAAAATACAATTGTAAGCAGGATTAGATAGAATTAAAATACCAAAAATAATGACATATGGTAACTCTATGAGAAAGTTGTCGCACTATTTGCTCAACAAATTTGATGGAAAACTTCCTCAGTACATACTATATTCATGTACATAATATATTCATGTACAGCTTGGAATGGCTCTGAAAAGAAGCTTAGCATTGGTGTGGTGTCTCCCTATGCTGCTCAAGTTGTGGCGATTCAAGAAAAACTTGGACGGAAGTATGAGAACCTTGATGGTTTCATGGTGAAGGTGAAGTCTATTGATGGCTTTCAGGGTGGAGAGGAAGATATCATAATAATATCTACTGTAAGAACTAATAGTAAAGGATTCATCGGGTTCATATCCAGTCCTCAAAGAACTAACGTAGCTTTGACTAGAGCTCGGTACAAAGTCAAACAAATTTTTATCGTGATTTCTTTCAAATCTTCATATTTAGAACATGACATACTTTCACATCTTTCCAGGCACTGCCTTTGGATTCTTGGAAATGAGAAAACCCTATCGAAGAGTGGATCAGTTTGGGCAGAATTAGTCCAAGATGCTAAGGATCGTCAATGTTTCTTCAATGCTGATGAAGACAATGATATGGCCAAAACCATATTAGATGTGAAGAAGGAACTTGATCAACTTGATGATTTGCTTAATGGGGACAGTATACTTTTTAAAAGTGCAAGGTGGAAGGTATAGCTTCTAGTTGCCAAATATTTATTGTCCTTCAATCTTTTCCAACTTCTAGAATAATACTGTGTGTATCTGTGTCTTTTGGATTATTGGTCTTTGGCTTTATTCTTAAAGTTTCTTGCCCACTTGATCTCCCAGGTTCTTTTCAGTGATCAATTTAGAAAGTCATTTGGAAAATTGATCCGTACGAAGAAGTCTGTTATGAACCTTTCACTGAAGCTATCTAGTGGTTGGCGACCTAAGAGAAGGAATGTGGACTTGGTTTGTGAAAGCTCTTCCCAGATCGTTAAACAATTCAAGGTTGAAGGGCTCTATGTTGTATGCACGATTGACATAGTGAAGGAATCTAGGTACATCCAAGTTTTGAAGGTTTGGGACATATTGCCCTTAGAGGAGATCTCGAAATTAGTGAAACGTCTTGATAGCATATTTGCAATGTACACCGATGATTTTATCAATCGCTGCAAGGAGAAATGTCTTGAGGGGTTTGTCTGTTCTTTTGCATGCTATTGGAAATGACTTCTTGTTGCTAAATGCTAAGGTGCTATTTGGTTCGTGAATTTGGTGATGGAAAACGGAAGTCATTGCAGAACAGATCAATTCTTTTCATATTCATTCACCACAGAAAATAGATTCAGTATGGAATATGAGGGAAAAAATTGTAATTCTACATTTAATTTCCTCGTCCCTTCTCTCAATCCTTAACCAATTTTTAAATTTCAATCTTATCTAATCATGAGGAAAAAAAAAAAAAAGAGTTTTTTTTTGTTTTATTTAGTCGTTTTCCTATTGTTTTCCTTTTCTTTGCTAAATCTTTGAACAAAACAGAGCTTAAGTTTTAAATACTTCCTTATTTTGGTTGTTGAAAATATGAGATTTTTTATAACATATTTGAATTTTAAAGAAATTTTCGATTTCTTTTAAATTTCATTTTCTTCATTTTTAGGGACTTCGAAATCCCAAAGAGTTGGGTGACCTCTTATGACATTGCCCGGTTTAAGAATATTTGCAGCAATGAATTTGGGAGTGACTCAAGTGTTGCTGCTGTTGATGGTAGAAGTTATGTTGAGAATTCAAAGGTTAGTGAAAGCTTGTTGCTGATGAAATTCTACTCATTGTCATCTGGTGTTGTAAGTCACCTGCTTTCTGGCTGCGATGGTGGGGAACTGGATCTCCCCTTTGAAGTAACAGATCAGGAGCTGGAAATTATTCTCTTTAGTAAAAGCACCTTTATAGTTGGACGGTTGGGCACTGGAAAAACTACTGTTTTGACCATGAAATTATTTCAAAGGAGCAACAGCACCATATGGCTACAGATGGATTTTATGTAGTTGAGAGCAGTGCCACTAAGAGTTTGCGCCAGATAAACGAGTTTAATGACTGCATTGGAGAGACTAAGGGAACCGTCTTGCGCCAGCTATTTGTTACAGTTAGTCCAAAATTGTGTTATGCTATCAAACAACATGTTTCACAGCTGAAAAGGTGCGTAAATTTTTTGAGTTTGGAGTTGTTGGAATACATTCCATTCTGTTGGATCATCATATTTGCCTTTATCCCGTTTAAACAGTGTCATGACAAGTGAATTCACATATTTCTGTATGTTCTATTCTGCTAAATGCTGGTCCATTTATTTTGTTCCTCGCTATTGGTTTTTGATATCAATCTTGAAGGACATATTGAGAACTTTGTTGTCCCAAATTTGTTTTTGAGAACTTTGTTGTCCCAAATTTGTTTGAAAATTCTCTTCCTTTTTCCTATTAAGTAGGAGGGGAAGAGGCTTTGAAGGACATATTGGTTTTTGATATCAATCTTGACAAGAATTTTATTGCTTCCTTCTAAACTCATTTATGTTATGGTTTGACACAGCACAAACTATTGCAAGGGGGATTGATTTTAGATTCCAAGAGATACCACATTTGTTCTACGATGAGTTCATTTCAAAATCAAGAAGTAATGGATCTGATGGAAAAAAAGAAAAGGGACAAATATCACAAATATTTAATCTGACTCAAAACTTTCGTACCCATGCTGGTGTGCTCAAATTAGCACAAAGCGTAATTGACCTTCTTTACCGTTTCTTTCCTCAATCTGTTGATGTTCTGAAACCTGAGACCAGTCTTATATATGGTGAAGCACCAATTTTACTTGAGTCTGGGAATGATGAAAGTGCAATTGTTACTATTTTTGGAAACAGTGGAAATGCTGGTGGCAACATTGTAGGATTTGGTGCCGAGCAGGTCATATTAGTACGTGATGATCATGCTAGAAAGGAAATTTCTGACTTTGTGGGAAAGCAAGCTCTTGTTCTGACTATAGTGGAGTGCAAGGGCCTGGAGTTTCAGGTGAACCTTTTCTTTTGTTTCTTTAAATGATCACTCTTATATTATTCATTATTGAAAGAACCACCTGTAATGTGTTTGAGAGAAGCAAAATTATATGTAGTAGTGGGATCCCAACATGTCTTAGTTTTCACATGGTGAACATAAAGGATAACACTGTGACTCTGTTTGTCAATTCATTTTTTTATTATTCAGGGGCTTGTGCTGCCATTCTCCTTAAATCGAAGAATGTATCAAAATTGCTATCTGTTGGGGCTATGGTTTTGTTTGAAGTTTTGTAGGAGACCCTTTATACATCTCTATTAAATATTATCTCTGTTCATTGATTCCTCATGTAATATTATTTGTAGGATGTATTGCTGTACAACTTTTTTGGGTCATCCCCACTGAAAAATCAGTGGAGAGTAATATATGAATTTATGAAGGAACAAGATATGCTTGATGCTGCTACTTCCAAAAATCCAAAATTTAGCGAGACAAAACACAGTATCTTGTGTTCTGAACTGAAGCAACTGTATGTAGCTATCACACACACAAGGCAAAGGTTATGGATTTGTGAGAACATTGACGAACTATCCAAGCCTATGTTTGATTATTGGAAGACATTGTGCCTGTCCAAGTGAAGCAACTTGATGATTCACTCGCACAGGCAATGCAAGTTGCAGGCAGCCCAGAGGAGTGGAAGTCACGGGGTATAAAGGTCTGCTTTATCTTTCTCTATATCATCACTGCTGCTACTTTCTTATAGTCATTGTTAAAAGTCAATATTGGTCTTTGTTGTTGTTGGTGTTACTATTGTTGTTCCTTTAATTTTCACAACCTTCGATTTCTTTTGTGTCAATTAATTATTCTGCTCATACATCTGATCTCTCTGTGTTTGCAGCTCTTTTGGGAAAATAACTATGAGATGGAAACAATGTGCTTTGAAAGATCTGGAGACACAATGTGGGAGAAAGGGCCAAGGCTACTGGCCTAAAAGCAGCAACTGATCGGTTGCGCGGTTCAAATCCTGAAATGGCTTCTACTGTCCTTAGGGAGGCTGCTGAAATATTTGATTCTATTGGCAGGGTAGAGTCTGCGGCAGAATGTTTTTGTGATTTGGGGGAATATGAAAGAGCAGGTATTAGTTTTTTCCTTGTTGAAACACTTATATGTATATATGTATTTGTGGCCATTATGTAATTAGGCCTTTATTGTATTGTATATAACTCCCTTTATGTTTTAGGGTTAAATATATGAGAAAATGGGCTTAGCAATTAGTCTCTCTCTCTCGCTGTCTCTCCTTCTCTCTGTATCTCTATATTCATTATATACAAATCTTCATTTCTACATGGTATCAGAGCGGATCAAAATTGTGAGTGTGGGAAATTGCAATTGCATTGTTCTTGTATAGATCTGTAGATCTATTCAGAGCTCGTGACGGTGGTGTTGTTGCCCTTTTTTTTGGTTGTCGACGAGCTCGCAGCCTTCTCTTATCGTCGCTGCTCGTTGCTCGTTGCTTGGTCTCAGATCTGAAACACAGTTTGGTTACTCGTGTTGTTATCGTTTCAGTTGTCAACAAATTCACCGCTTTCTCTTGCCGTCGTTGCTTGCTGCTGGTCACCGGCGGCTGTTGTCGTCGTTGCTGCTGGTTGTTTGGTCACCGACGGCTGTCGTGAGGTGCATCGCTGCTTGTGATTCCATCGCTGCTGTCGCTGCGTACTTGCCGGAGAGCTGAGAGACAAATGGTGTTTGGCTACAGGGTGCTCGCTATCCTAATCCAGATTAATATAATCCGGATTTGTTCCGACCCGGTTTAAGGTCCGGCCCGTTTGACCCAATCCAAGAGCCAGCCCGTCCGATCCAAGATCCGGGCCGTTAGACCGAGTCAAGATCCGACCCGTTTGACCCAATTCAAGATCCGGCCCGATTTACTTACCGGGTCTGTTCTGCTCCGAGTCTTCGTTTGTTCCCGGATTCAACTCTGGTTTGGCCTTCTCAGGTACAACAAACTTCTTTGGTTCCTCGCTACAGATTTGGCATCTTAACTTGGTGGAGACAAGTTTTTTTTTTCTTTCCATATTCATATCTCCATGCCGAACGATTCAAATGTTGCTTCTGGGTCTAGTGGAGTTAAATCTTCTGCAACATATGTTGATCCTGTTGGGCTGCAAATTACATCTATGAAATTAAGTAATTCCAATTACTTACTATGGGCTCAAGCAATAAATATTTCTTTAGGTGCCCGACGAAAGCTGAAGCTTATTACAACTGATCCTCCATCAAAAACATCAGCAACATATAAGGAGTGGGAAACTGATAACTACATGGTTATGTCCTGGTTGTGGAACAGTATGGAACCTTCAATTACATCCACTTTTATGTTTGTCAACACTGCCAAGGCAATCTGGGATGCAGTTAAAGAAACTTACTCTATGGACACAAATGTTTCTCGTATATATTCATTATATGAAAAGATATTTCATTCTCGTCAATCTGACTTCTCTGGTCAAGGCCTTGGATGAGTTAAATCAGTACCACCCCTTGACTACTGATCCTGATGTTCTCAAGCGACAACGTGAGGAATTTTTTGTTTCTATTTTTCTTGCTGGTTTGCACCCGAACCTTCATAATATTCGGGACTAGATTCTTGCGGGTGATGGAGGACTCCCATCTTTGGGTAACATTTATTCCTGTTTACTTAGGGTTTCAGAACAATCATATGTGACGCCCACTGGAGTGAAAGAAAATTCAGCTATGATGATTCCTTCTATTTTTCCACAGTCCTCTAGAGGTCGTGATAGTCCTAGTGGCAACAGAGGGTATGGTGAAAATTCAGGTGATAAGCCTAGTGGCAACAGAGGGTATGGTGGAAATTCAGGTAGTTCTCATGGTGGTAGTGGCCGTGATAGAAGTCGCAATCGCCGTGGTCGTGGACGTAGTGACACTCGTATGTGTAGCCACTGTAAGGGTACTAACTATTCTGTTGAGAACTGTTGGACTCTTTATGGGAAACCAGCATGGGCAAATCAAGTAGTGTCTTCCTCTGACCTTGCAGGGTCTCATCCCTCTCTTGGTCAGACTTCTGGATTACCATCACCTGCATCTACTAGTGACACTATGACACTATCACTATCACGAGCTGAGTTCAGTGCATTGGTCAACCGGACACATCCCAACTCTACTGATGTAGTTAATTTTGCGCAATCAGGTAATATTGCATGCTTGTCCGATTTACAGACTTAAGCATCCCCTTGGGTTATTGACTCTGGGGCTTCTACCCATCTCACAGGTGATGCCTCTCTATTTTCTAATTTTCAGAAGTCTAGTTCCTCATCTTTTGTTACTCTGGCTGATGGTAGAACATGTTCCATTATTGGCCAGGGAACAATTAAATTAACCCCATCTATTTCTTTATCCTTTGTGCAATTAGTTCCAAATTTTCCCTTTAATTTATTATCTGTAAGTAAATTGACTCAAGCTCTGAACTGTTTTGTCACATTTTATCCTTCGTCTTGTGTCTTTCAGGACCTCAACACGAAACAGACGATTGGTGGGGGCAGTAACAGAAATGGCCTATACTATTTGGATTACAAACCTTCCACTGTTGCTTTACATTCCCAGATGTCTATGTACCAGTGGCATTATCGGTTAGGTCATCCCTCGTTGCGGTATTTGAAGTCTGCTTTGCCTTTCCTTGAGTCGGTGTCTATTTTAAATTGTGAATCTTGTCAGTTGGGTAAGCACCATAGAGTGCCTTTCCCTCCTCGTATTGTTAATCGTCGGTCTTCTTTATTTGAATTAGTACATACGGACATTTGGGGTCCCGCTCGTCACACTAGTCACTCAGGTTTTTCTTATTTTGTTACCTTTGTTGATGATTATTCAAGGATGACTTGGTTGTTTTTAATAAAAGACCGTTCTGAACTGTTTTCCATATTTCAAATATTTTTAAAAGAAATTGAGGTCCAATTTGGGTGTGTTATACGTACTTTACAATCTAATAATGCTAT